TCTTCTTCTTCTTCTTCTTCTTCTTCTTCTTCTTCTTCTTCTTCTTCTTCTTCGTGCTGCTGCTGCTGCTGCTGTTGTCAGGTCTGTAGCAGACACTGACGACCATATTACCCCATTCCTTCCTGCTGTCATTCCTGATCAGCTCCGGGTTTTTTTCTCTTCTGATTATGTTGTTTGTCATAAATCTGCTCAGGCTACCTATGTGTGCTGTACTGTCTTCTTCTGCTCTTTTTTCCCTCACACATAGACAATTTCCGAAATCCATTTGTTTTACAGTTGTACCACTGTTTACGTTCAATGTGTAATGAAGAAATAGAGTAAGTAGGGACAAATAGAAGAAAGCTACCGGCGTCTGTGGTGTAGCAGCGGAAGACCCGAGCTTGATTCACGAGTAGGGAGAATGTGTATCCAGTATTTCGGACTTTCTGCTGGAACGTTGCACATGCATTCCTTTCAGCCCTGAAATAGCCCTGATAAATGGGTTGAATACCTTCTCCGAAATTATTTTAACTGCTCATACAACGCTTGCATTAATTTTTTTAAAAGATGACAGCTAATACCCTTTCAGTTGTGCATCCATTTACCCTGAGCTCAAATTAATACATTATTTTGCAACTCTGCGTCCTTAGTACAACATTTGATTCACAACAAACTATACTCACTTATTTTGGTCTTGCATTTGGAGTCCACAAGGCTTTTGAAAGAAAAAGCAACCAAAGAGCTCACGAGAACCGCTTCCCTTGAGGTAAACAACTAAAGAAATTCACTAGAAACCGCCGCAAAACAGACGAAGGACTTTGTTAGCCCATCTGTACCGTGATTGGTCTGTAGTATATTACTACAAACCAAATAATGAGCAGATCTTGGTCTCCCCTGCTTTTATAGCACGGGGAAAGGAATCACTAAGCTTCTAAAATTATTCTCTGTTAGGTTGCACCATCGGTGGAAAGATGGAAACGTCTGGGGCCTTGCCTGGATCTTGTTTCCACAAGTTTTTGACAGACAACGCGAACTTAGTTTCGACAATATTTTCTTAACGCTGAATATGATAATTCTCACAATCTCTCGTGTTTAGTTCAGTAATTTAAAAAATCCTTCCGTTAAAAAAGTGATATAATGATATTTTACGCAGATTCTAGTTCATTATAAAGTACTTTATATTTTTTTCTGTTATGTCCCTTGCGTGATTGCTTCACAATGCTTTGCAACAAGGAACAACGATATTAACTTGATTATGTCCCTTTGGCGATTGCTTCATGGTTTGCAACAAAGGAACATTGATAATATTAATTTGATTATGTCCCTTGCACCATGGCGTCATCCTGCACCGCACGTTGTCCCAGCACGTGAGACATGTATTTACTTGGCCTCTCCTGTCTTGTTGTGCGTTTGCGTGAGTGCACCTTTAGCTCTAATTTTTGTAACGTCTACGGCCATTGTTAACGACTAAGGCAAATTTCTCCCTGCGAGATAAATAAAGATTGTCATTGTCATTGTCAAAGTTTTCAAGCCGATTAATACACGTAACAGGTGTTTTCATCAGTATTTTAAACGTAAACGTATAGGAAATATCTTTCAATGCTTCCACAGATTCTGACTAACATTGTTTGCACTTTTTCAGATAAAAATTGCCAACCCTTGCCACTATAAAGCTGAGTCACGGTCAAGGAGGTTACAGAGTAAGGTCCTTGGTCACCGTTGATTTACATTCTTTTTCTGGGCACTCCACGGGCAACAACTAAGGAAACCTGTTCTATATACATGTATTTAAAATGAAGTTGCGTCCCTTGCATCGGTACCGCGCACTGCCTCCATAGAAATGTTAAAAATACAAAGTCTTTTTTTTTAAAGGAGGGTGGGAGATGTAGCTTTATTAATATAGTTTGCTGTGTAAGGAAGGAACACAAAGCTTTTACTCAAAGACAAAAGAATCTTTTAATAGAGCTTAGTCAGATACTTTTGTTTAAAGAGGCCTTCTATAACCATTCGATTTGATTGATTGATTGATTGATCGATTGGTTGGTTGGTTGGTTCGTTCGTTCTTTGGTTGGTTGGTGCATTTATTAATTCATATATTTATTTCTTTATCTATCGGTTTTTCTGTTTTATCGCGTTCTTATTTATCTATTTATTTGTCTCTGTATTTATTCATTAACTTACTCACTGGGGAAATGAGACTCTTTACTTGGATACTCTTGTTTCCTTGTTCAATTATTTCTCTCTTCTGCGTTTGTTTATTCTAATTATTTTAATTTTGCTTTTTTGTTTATTTGTTTGTTTGTTTAAGTGTTCGTTTGTTTGTTTGTTTTTCTAGATTTATCTTATCTTGTATTTACTCATCTGGAAAATGAAATAGTCATGACTAGATAATTAACTTTATTTCGACATACTTTCGATTTTTTAGCAATCTCTTACAATTACAAAGCTTGTTACAAAACACGAAACAACCGAGAAAAGGAATTGTTACTCTCTTGTAACACTTCCAATCATCGGCACTTATATGACCTAATTGTGTCGCAAAACTTTTACTTAAGCATAAAAAGGAGGGGAAAGAAAAAAAAAAAGAAGGAGAACATATATTATCGTGTTTTCATGCTCATTGCGTAACTACTTGCTGCTTTGGACATCAAATCTGTTTCTTTTCATTTCTTTTCTTCGATGTGACACCCTTTGTTTCATTCGTTAAGACTAAGTGGTGGTGATGTTTACTGGCAGGTTTAGGTGGTTCATTAAATTATAATTATAATTTTTTA